AAGTTCAATCTTCCAAGAGTGAACCAGGAAGAAATAGAAATTATGAACAACCCAATTACAAGCACTGAAATTGAAGCTCTGATCAAAAATCTCCCAAAAACAAAAGCCCAGGACCAGACGACTTCATAGGAGAATTTTTTTTTTTTTTAAGAGAGATTTCAATGAGACTGAAGGAACTCCATTTTATTTTATTTTTTTTTGTATGACCAAATGTGTTTTTTTTTAATTTGTTTTTATTAGTTGGAGGCTAATTAATTCTATCAAACATTTAGAAAACAGCTAATGCCTATCCTTCTAAAACTCTTTCAAAAAATTGCAGAGGAAGGAACACTTCCAATCTTATTCTACGAGGCCACCATCACCCTGATACCAAAACCAACAAAGACAACACTAAAAAAGAAAACTACAGATCAGTATCACTGATGAACACAGATGCAGAATTCCTCAACAAAATTTTTGTGAACAGAATTCAGCAACACATCAAAAAACTCATACACCATGATCAAGTTGGGTTTATTCCAGGAATGCAAGGATTGTTCAGTATATGCAAATAAATCAATGCTATGCACCATATTAACAAATTGAAAGATAAAAACCATATGATCATCTCTCTCAGCACCCATTTATGATTAAAACTCTTCAAAAAATGTGCATAGAAGGAACCTACCTGAACATAGTAAAGACCATATATAATAAGCCTACAGCCAACATTATTCTCAATGGTGTAAAACTGAAAGCATTCCCCCTAATATCAGGACCAAGACAAGGGTGTCCACCTTCACCACTGTTATTCAACATAGTTCTGGGAGTCCTAGCTACAACAATCAGAAAAGAAAAGGAAATAAAAGGAATCCAGATCGGAAAAGAAGAAGTAAAGCTCTCACTGTTTGCAGATGACATGATACCGTACATAGAAAACCCTAGATAGTATCAGAAAACTACTAGAGCTAATCAGTGAATTCAGCGAAGTTGCAGGATACAAAATCAATACACAGAAATCACCTGCATTTATATATACTAACAATAAAAAATCAGAAAAATTAAGGAATCAATCCTATTCACCATTGCAACAAAAAGAATCAAATATCCAGGAATAAACTTACCTAAGGAGACAAAAGAACTGTACACAGAAAATTATAAGACACTAATGAAAGAAATCAAAGATGACATAAACAGATGGAGGGATATTCCATGTTCCTATGTAGGAAGAATCGATATTGTGAAAATGACTATACTACCAAATGTAATCTACAGATTCAGTGCGATCCCTATCAAATTACCAATGGCGTTTTTCACAGAACTAGAACAAAAAATCTCGCAATTCATATGGAAACACAAAAGACCCTGAAAAGCCAAAGCAGTCTTGAGAAAGAAGAATGGAGCTGGAGGAATCAACCCTCCTGACTTCAGATTACACTACAAAGCTACAGTCATCAGAACAGTATGGTGCTGTCCCAAAAACAGAAATATAGACCAATGGAACAAGACAGAAAGCCCAGAAATAAACCCATGCACCTATGGGTACCTTATATTTGACAAAGGAGGCAAGAATACACAATGGGGCAAGGACAGTCTCTTCAATAAAAGGTGCTGGGAAAACTGGACAGCTACATGTAAAAGAATGAAATTAGAACACTTCCTAACACCATACACAAAGATAAAGTAGATTAAAGACCTAAATGTAAAACCAGAAACTATAAAACTCTTAGAGGAAAACATAGGCAGAACACTCGATGACCCACCTCCTAGCATAATGGAAATGAAAACAAAAGTAAACAAGTGGGACCTGATTAAACATGAAAGCTTTTGCACAGCAAAGGAAACAATAAGCAAGGTGAAAAGACAGCCCTCAGAATGGGAGAAAGTAGTAGCCAATGAAACAACTGATGAAGGATTAATTTCCAAAATAGACAAGCAGCTCATACAACTCAATGCCAGAAAAACAACCCAATCAAAAAGTGGGGAAAAGACCTAAACAGATATTTCTCCAAAGAAGACATACAGATGGCTAACAAACACATGAAAAGATGTTCAACATCGCTCATTATTAGAGAAATGCACATCAAAACCACAATGAGATATCACCTCATACCAGTCAGAATGGCCATCATCAAAAAGTCTACAAACAATAAATACTGGAGAGGGTATGGAGAAAAGGGAACACTCTTGCACTGTTGGTGGGAATGTAAATTGATCCAGCCACTATGGAAGATAGTATGGAGATTCCTTAAAAAACTAGGAATAAAACCACCATATGACCCAGCAATCCTACTCCTAGGCATATACCCTGAGGAAACCAAAATTGAAAAAGACACATGTATCCCATTGTTCGTTGCAGCACTATTTACAATAGCTAGAACATGAAAGCAACGTATATGCTCATCAACAGATGAATGGATAAAGAAGCTGTGGTGCTTGCTTAGTCACTCCAGTCGTGTCTGACTCTTTGCAACCCCATGGACTGTAGACCACCAGGCTCCTCCATCCATGGGATTTTCCAGGCAAGAGTACTGGAGTGGGTTGCCATTTCCTTCTCTGAAAGAAGCTGTGGTACATATACACAATGGAATATTACTCAGCCATAAAAACATTTGAGTCAGTTCTGATGAGGTGGATGAACCTAGAACCTATTATACAGAGTGAAGTGAATCAGAAAGAGAAGGATAAATGCCATATTCTAATGCATATATATGGAATCTAGAAAAATGGTACTGAAGAATTTATTTACAGGGCAGCAGTGGAGAAACAGACATAGAGAATAGACTTACGGACATGGGGAGAGGGGAGGAGATGGGGAGAGGTATGGAAAGAGTAACATGGAAACTTACATTACCATATATAAAATAGATAGCCAACGGGAATTTGCTGTATGGCTCAGGAAACTCAAACAGGGGCTCTGTATCAATCTAGAGGGGTGGGATGGGGTGGGAGATGGGAGGGAGGTTTAAAAGGGAGGGGATATATGTATACCTATGGCTGATTCATGTTGAGGTTTGACAGAAAACAACAAAATTCTGTAAAGCAATTATCCTTCAATAAAAAAATAATGTAAAAGCACTGCTACGTAGCAGGTGCTCAGACTACACTCTTCCTGCCTTCCTTTCTTCTTTCTAATATCATTCACAATAATAATAATAGGTACCCCAAAATATTTGTTAACTGAAGAATTTATTGGATGATATTTTAAAAGGCAGCATAAGACTAATAGGGAAAGAAGGGAAAAACTTTCAAGATTGATCAATCAAAACAGAATAAACCTAGAAAGACATATGCCAAATGTAAATGGTAGTCTTCTTTAGATTGTGGGAACGCACTTACTTTTTTATTTTCGTGTTTATTGCCATCTGTATTTTCTAATTTTTCCACAGGGAATGTATTATATCATAATTAAGAATTTTAAATAAAACAAGATTTTAATTAAAAATCTACCTGAACCCATCAGTCAAGCTAATCATCACTTCCTATTGACATGATGTTATAGGAAGATTACAGCACAGCCAATGAAATACTCTTGCCAAAATAAGTAACCTGAATTTAATTCCTCGTTCAAATCTAACTCAGTTTACAAAAAATACAAGAGATACAGGAGAATTTTAAATGATTTCATGGAAATGCAATCAGAAAAATCCAAAATGTAAGAAATACTACAGGACACTTGACCCAACTTTTCAGTCAATGAATGTTAGGAAGGTGGAGAAGGGAAGATGAAATCATATATTAAAAGAGATGTAAAGGATATAACAGTTATTGTACAGCACAAACCAGCACAATATTGTAAAGCAATTATCCTCCAATTAAAAATTGTTAAAAAGGATATACCAATTAAATGCAAAGTATGGACCTTGCTTAAATCCCAGTTCAAACAAACCAGCTATCAAAAGCCAATTGAAGAAACCTGAACATAGATTTAGATATATATTAGTTGATTAAAAAATAATGTTAATTTTGTTGAGGATGGGGATAACAGTCCTGTGATTTTTGCTAAAAAAAGAAAAAATATAGTATTGATGGGTGAAATGATACTTGTTTGATAGTTACTAAAATACTCCAAAAGAAATAAAAGTAAAACAAGGGAGGGATAGATGAGATGATAAAGAAAATATTGCTAACAGGTAAAGCTCAGTGATGAGCTCGTGAGAATTTATCATACTTTTGTTTCTATCTTTGTACCTGTATTGGAAATTTTCCATAATTAAAAGTCAAAGTTGAAGACTTCCCTGGTGGTCCAGTGGCTAAGACTCCAAATTCCCAATGTAGGGGGTCCGGGTTCAATCCCTGGTCAGGACACTAGATCCTACATGCTACAACTGAAGATCCCACATGCCTCAATGAAAATTAAAGATCCTGCGTGCTGCAGCTAAGACCCAGCACAGCCACACACACACACAAAAAGATGTCTGTGATATTTAAAAGACAAAGAAGCAGTGTTCAACAGCAAAATGTCTCTTCTCTTCCTCCTCTTTCCTTGCTGTTTTCTTGGCTTGGCCTTCTGTTCCAGTCACATAGCATGTGACCATACAATCTGTATGTCTAAGAAGGTCTGGCTGGGTCAATAATATTGAAAACTGAATTTCAAAGTCATTTCCAAGAGATCTTAGATTTTTAATAGTCACTCCAGGAAGCCTGTGACTTCTGGGTAAAGGTATGACTTACAGAGAAAAGGACCTTCCATTTTCTCAAGATTGATTCTTTGTGAAATAACTGGTCAACAAGTCATACCTGGTCTCAAGCTCATCTTTCTAAGTGAATTGCAATTGACAGTCATCAACTTTGAAACAAGGAAGTTTCTACCAATTAGCTTGTGTTTTCCTCGTGGGTTTTTGTTCGTTTAATTGTATGTTTTGTTGTTCAGGGTTTTTCTGGTCTAAACTCTTTCACGCTGTGATTTTTCTGCTCTGGTTTAAGTTCTCCCTACCTGCAATGCCTTGTTTGTGTGGCTCTGTGATCAAACAGAGCCAGCACTCCTAATCCTTGGCCAGACCCCTCTGCCTAGAGTTAATCTATCCAGACTTGTTTAATTTAGCAAAGTCCTTCTCAGAAGCCACATAAATATTTGACTTTGCACTTTCAGTTTTTATATATACATGGCTTCTTAAAAAGCCAATTACTCTGTTTTCCATACTTATTATTTCTGACCAGAATTTGGTGTGGAATGCCCTTTTCTTACTAAAGCCATAGTAACCATCTTCCTGACCATGGTCTCTGAGTATCTGGGGAAGATGAGCCAGGTATACAAGGTCACTACTCTCCCAGCCATGAGATCCACCCTTGGCTCCAAACTGAGTTGATACACTATTGAAGTGATATATCACTCTCATAGATCCTATCAAAATCTGCAAAACAAATTTTAGCTGTTTCCGAAATACAGAAAGAGGTGATCTATAAAACAGTTTTATCAGTCAGCATCTTTTCTTCTGCTGGAAACAATGAGACTTATAGGGAAAGAGAGGGAAGCTCATCATGCTCCTTTCAACCAGTACCTCCAGGCAGACAGAAATTGCAGACTCCTTTAGTTCAGAGCTTAGTGCTGTAATCTGTACACAACAGTGCTCACAAATGTACTAATTTTCCACCAGGGATTTGGATTTTCTGGGTCATCTAGCAGAAAATAGTTTACTATAGAGGCAATGTTAACTTAAAAAAATAGATCACAAGTAGGATTACATATTTGAAGGAAGTCTCTGTTATACTAGACCCTTGATAAAATTATCTCTTGAACTGAATCAATGAGCAGTTACGGTTTCTGTTTTGAGTCTCCATAACATTCACACTCATTCAGACCCCAGAATATTCAGTGTCGAATAAGCAGGATCTTTCTCAGAATGCTGCTTCCAAGAGGCCTTTTACTTGTCCATTGGACTGGACTTCAGCCTTTTATTCTCCAAAGTGATTCAGCCTTATCACATTCAAGGGATCCCTAGATTAGAGGCAATTTGAACTTTAGACATTAAATAAGAAAATAAATTTTCTCATACTCTGGCTACTGAAGACACAGTATCCAGCTCACTGTCCTAACATGGCAACAAAACCAGTGCCAAGTCTGAGGTGTATGTGGCTAGCACTCCCATGGTCATGAAAAGAAAGCGTTAGTCGCTCAGTCATGTCCGACTCTTTTCTATCCCATGGACTGTAGCCCACCAGGCTCCTCTGTCCATGGGACTCCCCAGGCACGAATACTGGAGTGGGTTGCCATGCCCTTCTCCAGGACCCAGGAGTCAAACCTGGATATCCTGCATTGCAGGCAGATTCTTTACCGTCTGAATCACCAAGGAAGCCCATTTCAACCCCTAAGTAACATTCTGAAACTCAAAGGAAAGAAAAAAGCCAAAAGAGAGGTTTGGTTTGGTTTGACATTAACAGCCGCTAAAGTCCTTACAATGATACCAGTTTTGGGGGGAGACTACATAGAACGATGTTAAATGCATTGAACAAGATTAATTCAGTAAATCTTTATTATTTACTATGTGCCAGCTGCCATTCTAGGTACTGGGGAAGGGATATAGCATGAATAAGAAGAGTCGAGTCTCTGTTGTCAGGGAACTTAACATTTTACTTGGGGAAACAAGCAACAAATAGGCACAAAAACAAAGATATAATAGGTCGGGTGATAGTAAGAATCATGGAGAAAGTAAGGCATTATGGTAATTCATGGCTTCTAAGAGGACAGACCAGAAAACTCTTAGACCCTGTGGAGTGCAGGCAGAGATAAAAGGAGATTATCAAAGCCACAAAGTCACCCACGCACAAGGCCCTGATGATTGGTCTCACTGTGCAGCAGAATGATAAGACAGGTGGTTTCCAGCTGCTGGATGCTGAGGGGTGAGGGGAGGCGGCTAAGGCAAGCCCACAGTTCTGTGCTCGTTGACCCTAGTGGACGTTTCACTCCAGACAGACCAAGGGGACCACAGAATCCCAGAGGAGCTTCCATGAGAAAACAGGGGAGGCTGTAGAGAGTGTTCCCAACCACTTAAAGAAAATAAATTTTCCTTTTTAATATTTATTCTTATTTGGCTGCTCCAGGTCTTAGCTGTGGCATGTGGGATTTAGTTCCCTGACCTGGGACCAAACCCAGTCCCCCTGCATTGGGAGCTCAGAGTCTTAGTCACTGGACCACCAGGGAAGTCCCCCCAATCACTTTCTTACTTCTTTCTTCTTTGCATTACTTATTAACTGTTTTAAGAGCGTTGAGTCAAATTCTTGTCATCATTTTTGCCCTTCCTTCAACTTGAAGCAGTCTTCGTGGTCTGGTCTGGGTTGGGCTAAGAACACAGTATAAATTGACATTGCTGGTGTTGAGGGTGGAGGTGGGATCCACTTTAGAAACGGTGCTCAGACCAGACCTACCCAATGAAGTGACGCTGAGTAGAGACATGGATAAAGTAAGGCAGTGAGCCTTGGGCTATATGTAGGGGCTGGAGGTAGAAGGGTGGAATTCCTGGCCCAGAAATAGCAAGTGCTAAAGTTCTGAGGCAGGATTGCTCTAGGTAGTTTAAAGAAAGGTGAGGCAGCCACATGACTGGAGAGGAAGGAGAAAGGGGAGAGAGAGCCAATGAAGGGGAGGTCGGGGGATTACTTATGGCCTTGCAGAACATGTGAGAACTTTGACTTTTATTCTGAATGAAAATGGATTGGAGTGACTGATGTACCTGAGACTCTAGCTGCTCTGGACTCGGCTCTAGGGACCAAAGATAGAAGTAGCAAGACTGGTTATTAACGGAGGCTATTTCACTGATCCAATCAAGAGCTGACAGTGGCTTTGACGAGCATGTTAGCAGTAGGGACAGCGATAAGGGGCTGGCTTCCTGATAGTCTGTGTTTTGAAGATGGAACACACCAGATTTGCTACTTGATTAGGTGTGAGGTTTCTGAAAAAAAAGAGGTATCAAGGATGAAGACACATTTTTAGCTTGAGCAACTGATAGTTGAGATGAGAATATGGAAAGGCTAGTTTATTTTATTTCTTTTTGCAGGGATGGGTGGGATGGATAAAATTTTCCTTTGAATATGTTGAATCTGGTATGCCTACTGGACAAGTAAAATGAGGATGTGAAAAGATAGCGACTATAGCTTTGTTGTTGTTTAGTTGCTAAGTCATGTCTGACTCGACTGCAGCACACCTGGCCTCCCTGTCCCTTACCATCGCCCAAGTTCATGTCCATTGAATCGGTGATGGTATCCAACCTTTAGCTTAGGGGAAGTTTAAGTGAGAAGTTTTCCAAATGACGGATGTTTATTTGAAGGGATAAGTTATGTACTTGCCTTGGCCTTCAGTTTCAAAACAATGAGAAACTAAAATTTGTAAGTTGTTTTTAGTGTTTAAGTTATGATGTAAATCTAATACTGGGACTGCTATATTTTCACTCCCCCTCCCCATCCAGATGTGAGGTTTACAATAAAGATACTTTCACAGTGAAAACATTAAACAAACATTTTAAAACATGAGCAAACCACAAAGAATTGTGCATGAATGCTCATACCGACTTTATCCATAATAGTCAAGCATTGGAAATAACTCCATATGCAGGAGAAATGATAAACAAATTATAGTATTTATTAAAAAGTAAAATTATTGTTTAGTTGCTAAGTCATGTCCAACCCTTTGGGAACCTCATGGACTGTAGACTGCCAGGCTCCTCTGTCCATAGAATTCTCCAGGCAAGAATACTGAAGTGAGTGCCACTTCCTCCTCCAGGGGATCTTCCTGACCCAGGGATAAAACACATGCTTCCTGCTTTGCCAGGCAAATTCTTTACCACTGCACAACCTGGGAAGCCCCTAGGTAAAATACTCCTCAGCAATTAAAAAGAAATACTGATTCATGCAACAACATGGATGTCAAAAATATTGAGTGAAAAAAGCCAGACTAAAAGATTACAAGTTATATGATTCAAGTAAATTTCAAGAACAACGAAAAACTAATCTATGGTCATAGAATTCAGCAAGTAGTTGCATCAGATGGAGGAAAAATTGATCGGAAAGGAGTACAAGGAAACTCTCTGGGGTAATGAAGTTGTTCTGGTGATTGTTAGCCCAGACATAGAAAATCGTCATAATTCACTGTATTGAACACATGTACATTTTATTAAATGTAAATTCTATCTAAAATACACAACAGGACATGAGCCAACTACTGAAAGGATTATATACTAATGAAAAACCTAGGCAAAAAGCAATTAATCTAATTGAGCACAAACTGGGAGTTCTGAGTTTTCCAGCAATCAAAGCAAAAGGGAAACATTATTTAGCTCTATTATCTAATATCAGCATGTTTAAAAGAAAAAAATTTTGCTATCACTACATTTTAAAGAATATCCAGGGGAATTCCCTGGCAGTCCAGTGGTTAAGACTCAGCACTTTCAATGCAGGGGGTGTGAGCTCCATTCCTGCTCAAGGAACTAAGATACAGCATGCCAAAATGCAGTCAAAAAACAAAAAAGACTATTTTGATAAAAGTATCTTACAAATTTTTTCAATAAAACCTTCCTAAAAGTTGAAGAAACATTTTGGGCTCATTTTTATTTCTGTAAGTCCTCAACAGAAGTAAGAGAATATTAAGTTATGGGTCCATGAAGGAGGGCCTCAGTGGTAAAGAACCTGCCTGCAATGCGGGTGATACAGGTTCGATTTTTGGGTCAGGAAGATCCCCCGGAGAAGGGAATGGCTACCCACTCCAGTATTCTTCCCTGAAGAATTCCATGGACAAAGAGAGCCTGGCAGACTATAGTGCATGGGGTTGCAGAGTCAGACACTGAGTCACTTTCACTATGAAGGGATTTCTATGGGGAACCTGAAGGAGGCATTCAAGGTAGCTTTCTAGAGTGCCACCTTGCTGCAAGGATAGAATCTAGGGACTCATTCTTGAGAAATAAAGGATTCTCAGATTTCAGAAGCTCACTTTTCTGCATGCCTCAGCTGGGTTTGTGACAGGAGTTGGATATCAGATAATTAGGGGTTAACGAAAGTGGAATGTTCTCTGGAGTTGTTTAAAACTATATATATGGAGTTCAGCTACTGAACTTGTATTTGGTTAATTATATGTTTAAGAACCTTTCTGGGACTTTCCTCGTGGTCCAGTGGTTAAGACTTTGACTTTCAATGCAGGGGTACAGGTTGGATCCCTGGTTGGGGGAGCTTAGATCCCATATGTCTCTCAGTCAAAGAACCAAAACATGGAAACAATATTGTAACAAATACAATAAAGGTTTTAAAAATTAAAAAAAAAAAACTTTAAAAGAAAAAAAAGTTCTAAGAAGCTGCCATAGTCACACCCAAATAGAAAACTGTGCCTGGTTCTGCTTAGTTGGGACTTAATGGATAA